GAGTGCTCTAGAAAGTGGGTTTGTGTTGGGTGATCTGGGCTTTGCTAGTGAACTTCTCTGCATCTGCACAGTGGAGTTCCCCTGTGGGAGAGTGAAGGTGGACGACACTGAAGCCAAAGCAAACCTCAATATTCGGCTCATTGAGGGAACAGCTGCAAGAAGGGGAGACAGCCCTTGGCAGGTAGGAGAAGAGAGTTCTTCACCACAAGTAGTTTAGGCTCTTACCAAAAGCTCTGCCTGCCTGGCTACTCCAGAAGGGTTCCTACATTACTGGTGGTGTCACGTGAAGCTAAAATTTCCTTAGTTTTTTCAAAAGCAACCCCAAAATTGGAGTAGCAGGATAAAATGGTTTAGTATCTGTTTGGACTCGACTTTGTCACTGTTGCCAAGTTTTTTACCTTACCTTGCCAACACTATCAAGAGAGAGGATGGTGATTACATTCACCAACTCTGTTGCTCCATCCTGGGAAACTCATGCTGTGTGATGGGATATCACAGAGAGAGACTTCATGGAGCTTATCATGGAACTAATGAATGCAAATAATCAGGGCGTGGTTCTCTTTGATATGAAAGACCCTTTTACACCATAGCATGAGAGCTGCAGTCTGAGATGATGCACTGTCTCTAGTGTGGGACACAAGAATAATCCCCTCATTTGTGCTCTGTGTTTCAAAGCTTGGAGTGCAAAGTGCTTCTTTGCAGTGCCCAGCAGCACCCCATGCTGATTTGGATGAAGCCAGCCCTCATTCAGGAAGAACATTCAAAACTTGTTTGTAGGTGTTCCACAGAGACTTTATTCATAGGGCTTTTGTCCCACTGTGGATTTTTGGCTTCAGTGCATGTGCATTGGGGTGTTTGGTGCATTGGGGTGTTTGGCAGCCACAAAGAAGGTTGTGCACAGTGTTTGGTGAGCCACTCTCCAGGCACTGTCACACCTCACACCTCTCTGGTTTCAGGTTATGCTGCAAAGTACAAGTGGGAAGTTTCTGTGTGGGGGTGTTCTCATCCATCCAGCTTGGGTCCTAACAGCAGCACACTGCCTTGACACACCAAAGGAGCTCAAAGTAAGACTTGGTATGGAAAATCATCTATCCCTGTGTTTTTTAAATGTAACTGTTTCATTCAAAATATTTATCATTTCAGGGAAAAGATAGCAGGTTCTGAAGGCAAAAGTCCTTGGCTGTAGGAATGGACTGTCTAGACAGTATTATTTAAATATGCATCTTAGCTTAAAACAAAGCTTAGTAAAAATCTGATTTCATTTGAGCCACTATCAGCCTTACTGTGGAAGTGAACTGGTGTCTTCTGAGCACTGCTGCTGGTCTATAAAGCAGAAAGACTTGGTCTCTTCTCCTTGTGTTTTTCTGGTGCTGAAAATATTCAAGGTCATCCCAATACTGAAAAAAAGGTCTTGATCCCAGGAGGAGAATGTCACAGGGTGTCTTCCTGCCTTTTCATGCATTTAAACACTGTTACTTAAGAGAATTTCATTGCAGAAGGAGGAGAGGTGCTGTAGAATGGCCACACTGCCTTTACTTGCACTGCTGCTCTGGAGCATGAGAAAATGTCACTATGTCAGGTAGCAGTGCTGCTCCTGAATTAACAGACAGAAATAATTAGTGTTCCATTCACACTGAAGTAATATGGGATTTTTTTGGATCAATGTTTTCTATGTACCATTGGTGCTGAGGCATAACAGCTCAGCTGCTTGCTTTCTCCATTAGTGAAATGATAGGATATTCCCAGTATTTGTTGAAAGTCCTGCCAATATATTGTCTGTGTACCTCTCCTGGAAAATACACAGTCTGTATGCATGTTCCATAGAGGCTGTGGATGTGCAGGGGTTTGAGAACAGAGACAGTAAGGCACACACAGATCAATGTGTTTATGTACTTCCAACATACAGGATGAATAGAAAAGTATGTGATGCAGCCTTGGGTCCTCTCAGTGCCAGAATATTCACCTTTTCACAGGGAGACATCCAAATAGAAGTGTATGTGATAGTTTGGAAATGTGCATAAGTTATGTCATTTTCTTCCTTTTTAAGCATTTTCCATCAATTTTGGTGAAGCCCAAGAAGAGCTTCACTAAGGAACCTCGTTAGAGGAAAAGCAACTGTCAGATGTGGTGTTGGAGTGCTCTGCTTTGTTAGATGTAGCTTTGAGCATAACTTGGGAGGGAATAACTCAGTGGGGAGTTGGTAACTGGGGCAAGTATTGAGGCTGCACTTAACATTGTTCCACCCTGGCCTCATACTGCAGGTCTTGAGAGAGATCTGTGCAGTCTGACAAGCCTTCAGCTGGGATTAACCATGCCCTGAGATGTGTCTGCAGCAAAGAAGGAAGGGGTGGGATCTGTCAGGAGAGTCCAAATAAAATGTGATTTTCAGTGGGTGAAGAAATGTCAGCACTTGAGAACCCTGATTTGAGAAGATTTTGTTCTGTTCAAATGAAACTTGAGAGATGTCTCACACCTGAATTTGGGGCAAGTATACAGAGAAATTTATAGTGTAAGGATGGTTATCAGTGGGGCTCGGCTTTCTCTCGCTCTCATACTTGCCCAAAAGACCTTCCTTATTCACAGAGGAAGAATCCAGTGTGTGGCCATGGACGAGAGTTGTGAGGCACAAGAGGAGTGAGCCCTGCAGCACGTGTGTTCCTGCTCATCCACACTGCCTTCCTTACAGGAGCATTTGAGTCCACAGTTATTTCTGAGGCCTAAAGCAGGGTTTGCACCTGTGAAGGCAGGAATAAAGCCCTGCCTCTTCCTTGCCATCCCCCAGCCACAGTGGCTGGAGAGTGCTCCAAGGACACTCAAGGAAGACAGGTTGTGCTAGGAGAAAAACACTGATTTGTGATTGCTGGCTTGATACTGGGAAGTCCTTCAGATTCTGGAACTACTTAATACAATGCGTCAGAGCAGTGTCAGCCACCTGCTCTGGCCAGGTATGAATTTTCCATTGGATGTCTGCAGAGGAGCAAGAGGAGAGGCTCTGAAATAATTGCTCTGGAGGTCCAAGATCCAAAGCTGGACTTAAGGAGTCTTTTGAGAATACGTTTCTGTAGCTACTGTGGCTCATGAGTCCCTACTCTTGGAAACACTGACTCTTGACAGAAAAAACCAGCTGCAAGACCTCGCTGACGGCCTACAAGAAAGACCTGTCTCTGACTTTCCTATCCCAGTGTATCACAAAGGACTTCTTGCCTTTCTGGCCCTTTTCAACACAGTTTCCTGCTTACTGTTGCATTGACTGCTTGGCCCCTGAAGTGGCTGTGATCATGTAGCACAAATAGCAACCCAGAAGTCTTAAGCAGTCAAAAATTCATTAAAATACAGATTTAAGATTTCAGAAAGGAATAGCCTTACCAGTCAGTCACCTTTATTTATAAATCCTGACGTTTCGTTCAGGCAGCATAAAGCTCATGTCCTGTCATGAATGTCCTGCTTTGCATGTGCTTGCTCTTCCAGCTTTTAATGCTGGTTCCAAAAAGGTTGTTTTCCTCCTGAAGGAGGTCTCTCATATTGCACAGGTGTACTGAAATGTGAACACAGCAGGGCATTTTGGTTTCTCAGCTGATGACCAGAGCTCTAGGGCACCAGTTCATTTACTACTGTGGGTATTCATGATTTCAGTAAATAGGGATTACAGGTTAGTCCATCTGTTAAAAACACTGTCAACCTGTGACATAACATGAGCAAATGTCTGTATTACAAGGGAAGTAAAACCATAGGAGTACAACATATTCCAGATGCTTTGGTGTTCAGGGGGAAGGAAAGTTCGGCAGCATCTGTCTTCTTCTTGGTTGCTCTTCCAGGGAAATTCCTTTTCCGTCGTCGTGATGTCGACGAGCAAATCATTCGGGTGGACAAACGGGTGATCCACGAAAACTACACCAAGGAGACGCTGGATAACGACATAGCCATGCTGCACCTGGCCGAGCACGCCATGTTCTACAAGTACGCGCTCCCCATCTGCCTCCCCGCCCGCAACCTGGCCGAGCAGGAGCTCACGAGGGGCGGGCAGCAGGTGGTGGTGACGGGCTGGGGCAGCACGAGCGACGTCAACGTCAGCTACCCCACCTCCCTGCACTACATCGAGATCCCCATCGTGCCCCGCAACGAGTGCGCCCGCGCCATGGCCTCGCCTGTCTCCGACAACATGCTGTGTGCCGGGAGCCTGGGGGACAGGAAGGATGCCTGCCTTGGGGACAGCGGGGGCCCCATGTCCACCAAATACAAGGATACTTGGTTTTTGGTAGGACTGGTGAGCTGGGGCCAAGGCTGCGGGAGAAGGGAGAAATTTGGAGTCTACACCAAAGTTAGTCAGTACCTGGAGTGGATCCAGCACCACATAGATGTGTCAGCTCCTTTGAAGGGTTGATTCTGACCCCGAGAGTCTGGAATGTTGTGCTGGTGACAATATGCAGTGTAATGTCAGACCTTCAGTATTAAATATTGAGTATATGTTGACCTCGTGTGCTGTTTTCCTTTGGGACTTATTTTTTCTCTCCTTTTTTTTCTTGTTCACATTGGTTTGTTGCAGGTTGTGTTGTTTATCTGTGGCATGACCCTACTTAAGCCTTACAGGCAAGAAAAAAGAACCCTGTTAGCTGAGTTGCATTGTAGAAAATAAGGTGATCCTTGGTCAGACAACTCCATCTTTGAGGTGTAAGATATCTGAATTGGTTGGGGTGGGGGGCAGGAGGGGACAGAGAAAACTGTTTTTGCAAGTCACCATCGAGATGCAGTTCTGTCATTTCAGCTGTACCCACAGTAACTGTTTTGGTTTGCTCTGTATTTGTATAATTTTTCTTGCAACACAGTGAAGTTTTTGTAACATCATTACTGCTTCCAGTCCCTCACATCCTACTCCAGTGCTCACAGATGGTTGATTCAGCAGGTGACTAGAACTTCTCTGTATTTTCTATTCTTTGCACACCTGATGCCTGATTTTACCCCCCCAAACTTCCTGAAAAGAGAATGGGAACTGTATAGTGTTATTCAAAAAAAAAGAAGAGCTGTTTAATTCCAAGCTATTGCAGGCTCTATTTATCTTGGGGTCTGTAACAGTCTTCTAATTAGCAAGGTAAGCAAATGCTTCTCTTTATTGCTGTTCTGGTGACTGCAGTCAGCTGCAGGCTGTGTGAGCATTGCTAATGCTTACTGATAAATGGTGTGTGTTTGCATCTGTCTGTGTGTGTATATGAGTAAATGATGCAGAGCACCAGTAAGTTCATAGGAAGTAGCAATAGTCCAGGTGAAGTTTAATATCACAGTTTATACTTGTTTCTAATCTTAGCACTTGTTAAATAGAATTAATCTTGTAGGGAAAAAAAAAAAAAGCAGAACTCTTTCTGCTCTAGTGATGTGAGTTTCCAATGTGTGTTCCAATGTCTCGAGGGGTTTGGATCAGTGAAGAACTTCAGTCTGCTCCTGTGACGAGACTTAAATGAAAAAAACCTCAGGTACAAGGAATTGTGTTAGTTTGTAAGAAATTTAATGTGGTGTCAGCAAAGAGGTTTAATACCTTTTGTATTTGTGGACTTGTTGACTCAGGAGCTGCCTTGGTGCTTGTTACCCAAGTGCTGGTGTTGAGTCATTGCTGAAGGAGCAGTCGGGGTAGGAGCTGTGCTCGCTGGCTCTGGCTCTCTTTTCTCCTCCCCCTTTTCCCTTGGGACAGGACTTAAGGATGGAGGAACATTAAATAAGAATGCTTTGACCAGCACCCTTCTCAGCAGGCCTGCACCAGGAACAGGTAACCTGTAACCCTGAGTTGAAACATGGTTGTGTTCAAAGAAGGGTGGGGGGTGGCAGTGCTGGTGCTGCGACAGGGCAACATTTGCCTGCTGGTGACTGCAGTGAATCCTCCTGCACACTCCCAGCTCTGCAATATTTCAGCACCTGTTTACAGAGTAGCTGGTGTGTTTTCCAGATCAGTTGGCCTTGCCTACTGTGAGGTGACAGTGTCAGAAATCTGCTCTTAAAAGTTCCACATTTTCCCGAAGAAATTTATTGCAAAGCAGTGGCTTTTAGTATTGGAGGATTATTTAAAGACTAAATTCTCTTTTTAATGCACATGTGTATGTGTGTGGAAACACACACTTTTCTTCCAATTTTGAATTTCTAATGTGTCTCATAGAATCCAGGTTCTCTCTCCTCTGTCAATATTTGTGACTAGTTAATGATCAACCTCTTGACCTCATGGCTGTTCCTGGTGTACAGCCAAATCTCTTTCCTGTCTTCCCCTTAAAAAAAAATAAAGAAAAACGTGAGTATAACTGCGTGGTTCTGTGTAAATTGAACTCATTCTGGATCCTGTGGTTTTGAAAAAATGCTGCAGGTAGCAGAGAGGAACATGCTGTTGAATCCTGGTAAATCCTTTAGCCTGGGAAGGTAATAAGAAGAAATGCAAACTTGTGTGCTGTACCTGTGACTGCTGGTATGTGGTGCTTGGTTCCTCCTTGGGGTCTGTGCAGGGTCTTCCCATCAGCAGTTGCACAGGGGCTGGTTGTGCTCCCGCCTTGGCTTCAGCAAGACTGGGCTGGGAGTGGCCTCTGCTCCATTTGGGCCGTGTGTTCCCATGCTCCCCATGGCTTTTCCATGGCTTCCATGGGCTTTGGATCAGCCCCTGCCCCACAGCTCAGCTCCTACCTGTTGGGGTGTGCAGCATCGGCGTGGCTTGGGGAGACAGGGGACATGAGGTCAAAATGAACTGGGTAGAACTTGCTTTCTTTGTCTCTTCTTATCCTCTCACTTCTTTTTCATCTTTTTTGCAGGCTGTTTTTGTGACAACATACTAATTTTATTATTCTTTTCCCTCAGAAAGAAATCAGGAGGTCAGTGTTCTGGATGCTCACTAACATGGAGAGCAGCTCCTCACTTGGGAGATTTCTCCTGCTGATGTGCTTCATTGACAGCAGCTGCCTGTTTTCATATGAAGGTAGGTATTTCTTTTACTTTTTTAATTAAATTGTCTTTTTATGGCAATGTTGGCATTTAAACAGAAACTATGTTCCTGTTCTGAACACAAAGTCCTTTGGGTTGAAGGAATGCTTCCTGAAATGCACAAGAAAGAAATTAATATTCATATACATATTTGCAAGTGAAATCAGCCTTTCTTAGATTTCTGTTTAGCCCACTCTCCTGTTGAAAAGTATTCTCCCTGTGACATGGAACCCGAGATCTGAATTGGTTTTGCATGGTGGAGGTTTCCAATTTGGAAATCTAAAATGAGGCACTTTCAACATGTGTTCTTGGACCTCGTGTTGATTGTACAACTACTACACAAGGTTTGGAAATGGCTTCAGAGAGCTGTGGGACAGGCACCAGAGTGTGCAGGATCTCAGGAATCATTGTGGCTGTCCTTGCAGAGGAGGAAGAGCAGAGCAGAGTATCTGCAAAGGCTCTGTGGGACACTTGCTTAAAGGAGGTAAATCCTTTAAGGTGACCCAGAACACAAGAGGTGCTGAAGGGAAATTCTACTGATGTAAGTGAAGGAAATGTTCTCCATTACCAGACAGCAGGATCTGTGCAAAGCTTTTCTCCACTGAGTTTTTGTGGGCTGTTACTAATTACCTGGAAATGAAGCAATGTAATAACATTCTAGAATTTCAGTCATTGCTGTAAATACTGATCCTGCTACTGCAAATAGATCTGTGTTTTCACAGTCCATCTCCAAAACTGGGTTCTTTGCCAGAAGGTTTGACTTGTCCAGGGCACTAATCCCTAGCTGGGAAAAGCAGTGCTGTGTGGATTTCCATAGGCTTTTTTGGGATTACAGAGTGAGCTTTTGTCTCATAACACTTGGAGCAGCAGCCTTTCCCTCTGCCAGGTGGGCTTTGGCCATGGGGCTGCACTTCTGGGATCAGTGTACCCACAAGGGGTGTGGGTGGAAAAACCCTGGCACACTGCTGCAGATAGAGGTGCCTTAGCAAAGATGTGCTGTGGAGCAGAGAGGGTGTGTGGGGAGGACATTACTGACACAGTCCTTCTTTTGGCCATTCCTCCCTTAATTTATTGGCAGTAACAGCTTAAGGCATCACAGGAGGAGGGCAAATACCTTAGTGAGGCAAAGTTGAGATGAGCTAAATGTAAGCACAAAACTGACACTAATATTTCCTCTTAATGAGGGATTGGTGTCTGTTCTGTTGTGGCCACAGCAGAACCTGGAGAACTCTGCGACTCCATAACCAAATATCAAGCTAATAATTGCTGTGAATTGGGATGGTTAAGCAGAAAAATCTAACCAGCCTCCAGAGAAAAAGCTGCAATACTCAAGAGTCTTGTGGAATTAAAAATTTCTGCACTAACCTGCAAGTCTCAGTAGTGGCTCTTTTGACTCACTGAAAGCAAGCTCAGACTACTGATATGTTTTCCTGAAACACAGACTAATTTTATTTTCCTTTGGGCTCTTTGTGTAGATGCCCACTCCCCTCATTTATATTGTTTTTTCCACTGAAAGCCCATGTGACTGTGACTGTGGCAATGCCACTGTGTTGCCTTCAGCACCAACTGTTCAGTTTTGGTCTTCTAGTGTTTGTGAGAAAAGACAAAGCCCACGAGGTGCTGCGAGTCCATAAACGTGCCAACTACTTCCTAGAAGAGATTCGTCCAGGGAACTTGGAGAGAGAATGCAATGAGGAAAAGTGTTCATTTGAGGAGGCCAAGGAGATCTTCCATTCGCAGGAGAAAACGGTGAGAAACTTGATTTTAGGAGAAACAGAGGAAAGTCAATGGTGAGGTCTAAGTAACCCTGCCCAGGTCACCTAGTGTGGCTCTGGAAGTGTGTGCCTCTGGATTCTGCAGCTTGGGTCACTTCAGGGTGATTCAGGGAGGGTCACCCAGGGCACCTGTGAGACTGCACTTTGTGAGTGCTCAGTTTGTTGTGTAAATGTTAAACACAAATCCTTGGAAGTATCTAAACCCCATTTCTGAGAGCATCAATCCAGCAATGTGATTGGGACATTTTCAGAGGTCACTTGCTTGTCCAGACCCTCCAAATCCAGGGGAGGAGTGTCTCATTCCCAGGGCCAACAGCATCTGGCTGGAAGCAGGGCCGGGGCCTTCTGGGGCTTTGTGCTGAGGCAGGAGTTGGAGCTGCAGAGTTAAACAGGTGCCTGGTCTCTCCTGGATCCAGCCCAAGGTGCCAGGAATGTCTCTGTAGCAGGTAAAGCAGCACAGTAGAAATGGCTCTTCAGAGCAAAGCAGCTGATGCTGAGGCCTTGCAGTGACACCTTTTGGGGAGGGGGGGTGTGGTGATGGTGTCACTTGAAACTCCTGAGCTGGTGCCACAGACCTTTCAGTGGCTGGAGCATTTAAGGATCTGAGCTTTCAGGTTCATTTTGATTCCAGTACAGCCCAGTTTATGCACTCTGTGACTGGTCCATGGTACATGGTCCATTTACAAAAGTAAATGGCATGGTGGTGATCAGGAGATACTGTTCTGAGATTGTGTTTGTGGCTCTAATGAAAATGTCAGTTTACATGGACCCTAAAAAGACAGCTTTCTAAACTATGTCTTCAGTAATCCATATGACTGTTTGTTACCTGTTCTCTTCATTTGTGATTTCCTCTTGCAGATGGAGTTTTGGTTCAATTACAAAGGTAGGTAAAGAAGGAATTTTTAAAAAATGTATTCTGTGTGTCCCTCCTGGGTACAAAGAACTATGTGGCAATTGAAAGCCAGGCTTCTCTTAATTCCTGGAGTTACACCGTGCCTTGTTTCTTCTCCTTAGGTTTAAATCCATGTAGTACAAATCCCTGTAACAATGGTGGAGTCTGCAAAATAAGACATTACAGTTACTTTTGCATCTGCCCCCCAGAATTCAGAGGACACAACTGTGAAATAGGTGAGTGCAGGAATAGACATTGGCATTCATTGTGAAGGAAGGATGGCATGTGGCCATCTCCTGTCTGCTCCCAAGAAAGGCCCCTTTTCATCACTTTGGAGGGATAACAACTCTAGTGACTCCTGCACTGGAGATTGTTCATGGTGAGGCTCTTCTCTTTTACTGAGTCAATCAAACAAATTAGCCAAAGCTCACTGAAAGGGGAAAAGTCTGCTACATTTATGTTGTAATATATGAGTGATGAAAAAGGAAGGATAAAAACTGCCTTCTCTTACCAGATTTTCCATCCTCTGAAATGCTCTATCCAGTTTGCAAACTGAGGTATGAAATAACAGCAAAAGCCAAACTGTGGAAACTAAATTTTTTTCCTCCAAGTGCTTTTGTTGACCTTTTCTTTGTACAGTGAAGCAATTAAACATGGCTGTTTTTAATGTAACAGTGAATAAAAATCTCAGTCAGGTCGGACCCCCACCCAATGCCTGGTACTTTAAACCTGTCATGATATAAAAGACAAGATGTGCAGATGGATCAAAAACTGATGCATTTAGAAGTGTTTGCTCTTCCAGGCCTCTTCTTGCCCCCTGCTCCACAGACAGAAAGGCCCAGCCGTGGCCTCAGGGCAAAGCTGGCAAATGGGAGAATGGTCAGAACAGAACAAACCAAACATGAGGTCTGGTTTGCTGCACACCAGTGTGCGTGTCTGGAACTGGAAGGGGCGGTTCCTTCTGTTCCCCTGAGCGCTTCCAGCAGATGTTTTCCTGCTTTGCCTCATGCAATAGTAGCCCCGGGAGCTGGGTGCTGTAACCGCGGGTGTCTCCCCGGCAGAGAGGTTGGAGTGCTGGTACAAGAACGGCGGGTGCTGGCAGTACTGCAGGGACAGCAGCGCCCTCCACGTGGAGTGTTCCTGCGCCAGGGATTACACCCTGCACGAGGACGGGAGGAGCTGCGTGCAGGCAGGTAAAGCACGGGCTGCTGGGCCACCTCAGGAACAGAGGAGGTTTGCAGGCACTGACTTTCCCTCCGCTGGATGCAAAGAGCTGCACATGCTGTGGCTACTGCAGCTTGCACTTACTGTATGAAGAGATCTGTCTTATTTGTAATGTTTATTTTAAATGTTAAGGTTCCTCTCTGTCTGGTGTCTGTAGTCCAGTGCCCCTGTGAGCACATACTGGGTCAAGGAGCAAGCAGGACAGTTTGGAGTGGGCCTGTTCTAGCACAGGCTTAAATCAGCTAAACTGAGTCGTGAGGCCGAAGTGCAGGGGTGGGAGGGGAGAGGATAGGACAGGGGCCTTTAAAATGTGGTATCAGGCAGAAGGGGAGGGCTGGGTCAGTGTTCTTTCCTGAAGAGAGCCCTCGGCAGGCTGTTCCTGGCTGATGGCTCAGAAAAGACACAGCCACACCCCCATTTCTGGGTAATGAGTTCTGCACACTCAGCCAAGGGGGGGCAGGGGGGAGTTTGACATCACGAGGTCAGAGTTGTTCCAGGGGGGTCGAGTCCCATCCTTGGACAGGAAAAGTGCTGCCTTGTGTTTGAGTTCAACATGACACCAACACACCCTAATCTCAAATCTTGGTTTCTGTCATTCCTTCTTCCAGCACCGTTTCCCTGTGGCTTGATCAAAGCCAGGCAGGCTCTGAAGGAACAGCAACAGGGGCCAAAAAGCCTCCTGAGGAGCCAGTGGGAGCACAGGGATGTGCCTGAGCTGAACAGGAGCACAGAGGGCACAGCTGGGCAGATGGAGCTGGAACACAGTGATGTTGGGGAAAAGGAGACCATAAAGGATGCCTTCGGGCATGCTGGACAAACGGAGGTGGCAGGAGATGCTTCCAGCTGCAAAAAGACAGTGGTGGGCTCTGTGTCCCAGAAGCCCCTGGGGGAGGAGCTGGATGGCCCTGAGAACCACAAGGCAGTGGAGGGAACTGGGAGAGGCCTGGCTGAGCCAAGCCAGGGCCCAGCATGGCAGAACAAGAGCACAGCACCTGCTGCCAGGCAGGAAGGAACAGGGGGAAACACCACAGGGCAAAACCAACAAAGGGAGGGCACTGGCAGGAACAGAACGGGGGCTGTTCAACACAGGAGTGACGGGCTGCATCAGAGCAGGGACGGGGGAGACGGTCTGGACGTGCCTCAGCCCACCCAGGCAAACATCAGCTCTACTTTGGAGCACGGGGACCCCAGGATAACAGGAGGAATGCTGTGTCATCGTGGACATTGCCCCTGGCAGGTAATACCTTACTTCCAGTCTGGCCAAACACCACCTCTGAGTGCTTTCTTGCTTTAACTTTATTGGGTCCTTCAGGAGCAGAGTTCATCAAGCCATTGTAAAGTTTTTTCAGGTCGAGAGCAATGGAACCACGTGTATTTCTCAGCCTTCAGCAGGGCTTTTTGATGATACAGACTTTAGATGCCTTTGATTCTTCCCGTCCTACATATGTATGCTTTTGGATTAGAACATAATACCTTCTATCTTAATCCAGTCAGATCTCCTGTGCTGTTACTCAGGTTGTGTCTGCGTGTCCTTAGGGAAAAGCTGAGCTTCTGCCTCCCCGTGGAAGGCTGGTAATAGTTTTCCTGAAGCAGGTTCTGTGGCCAGGTGAGATTCAGTAGGTTTGGGGCTTTTGTGTGTGTCCTTATTTGTTACTAATTTTCACTATATTGTCTCTCTCTGGTCAATGTCCTGTTACTGTTTGCAGAGAAATTCTGATCTCAAACCCTTCACATTACCCTCACTCGATTTACTGCTGGCACACAAGTAGATTTCCCAATTCCACATCAGAAGGTATTTATAGGTGGAAAAATCATAGGCTGAACCTGGGTGGACCATGCATTGTGCACTTTGGCAAGCTGAAATGTCACTATTAGCCAATTTTATGGGTTTCCATCAGCAGCTGCTTCCCTTTGGATCAGTAGACTGATTTGGGGTTGTTAGATGGGAATGTTGTTTGTAGTCCAACCTTATACAGTTTCTTCTGGAAATGAAGTGTTACCACTAAGCTGGTTTTAAATTGTCATTACATCAAGAAATTTGTAATTTAATGTTGAATTTAAAGTGTATCTATCTATCAATATAATTTTTAAAGGTTTTTGTAAACCCTTTGCCTTCTAGGTCTTCATAACCTAAGACAGCATTTTCTGATAAATGTTCTTTGCTACTTTTCAATGTTTATTTCTAGCACTACTGAACAGAATTAAAAGCATCAATAGTACACATAATTAATAGTTGAGGAGATGCTGAGGCATTGATGGAGCTTATGATTCTGAACAGACAAGACAGACAACAAACACTGAGCACCATGTTTTAACTTCTCCATTTGCTACTGTGTAGATCATTACAAATTTTATTACCTGATTACTAATAAACTGCACCTTGTGTTTCTGTTCTCCACCACTCCCAAAACATTTGAGGCCACGTGAAAAATAAATCACAGTCATACTTGTTCCTTCAGAAGAACATCAGCCACTGCAGCTCTGTCTGCATGAGCTCGTCGAGCTTAGTTCATTGAATACTCTGCTCCCCCATCACAGCAGTGCAGGGATTTTATTACTGTTTTCACTGCCCTTTGCTTGGTGGGCCGGTGCTCCTGCCAGACGTGTTCCTCACCTGGGTCAGAGCCCACAGTGTGTGCACGTCCCGGCCCAGCCGCGGTTCTGCCTCTCCCTTCCCGCAGGTGCTGATCCGGGACAGCCGGGGCGTGGGGTTCTGCGGCGGGAGCCTCCTGAGCAGCCGCTGGGTGGTCACGGCCGCGCACTGCCTGGACCTCGTCAGCCCCCACCACGTCACTGTGGGTGAGCACAGGGCAGGGGAGGCACAGCCCCACCTGCACTTAGGGACCACTTCAGCTCCTTGGCAGGGCAGAGGTGCCAAAGGGCTCAGCTGGTCCCGTTTGTTTTCATGGAGAACCTGGGGAAACAAGGCAGAGATCTGTCTCCTATAATCCATTCTGGCAGACTCACTGTGCCCAGAGCCTGAGCGCATCTTGGTGACCCCTCAGGAGGAAGAAGGGTTCCTGTAGGTGACTTGTCTGCCATCAAGGCCATTTGGGTTCTTAATCAGCCTTAAGGTTAATTACCTGCTGTGCTGCCTCTTCCTTATTGCCTGTAGCTGCCTGGGAGCACAAAGCCCCTCTCCTCCAGTTACAGCCACAGGATTTGGCCCCCTGCAGCAGGAATGCTGCAACAAACACAACCTTGTGCCACAGGGACCCTCCCGAAGAGGGATGTGCAGGAGGAGCAAACAGCACTGGGGAACTGACAGGAAACAATTCCTCAGCCTTAGTCCCAGCTGCAGCTTAATGCTGATGTCATGTCCCTGAGAGGGGAAACACTGTCCCATGGAAGTTTAGACACAGCTCTGCTTACTAAGAAGGACTGACTGTTTATGGGAAATCATCTCCATTAGTATCTCATCATTGAGGCCCCAGCTCTGCCTAAAGGACACCTGGAAAGTTTGGTTTGCAGGATCACAGCTGTCCTTGTTACATGCAGGATCTGGTTTGGGATGTGCCTTCTCAGGTTCCCCAATGACGATACCCCAGAGGCTAAGTTTGCTTAACGTTTTAACTTGTCCTGGCTGCAGGAGACTTTGACAAATACCAGAGAGAGTTCAAGGAGCAGAAGATCGCTGTGGAAAGGACCTGGACGCACCCACACTACGATTCCAACGACTACAACGGTGACATCGCGCTGCTCGCCCGCGGCTCCCCCCTGCGCTTCCTCATGAAGGTGCGGCTGCCCCTGGTGAGCCTGGAGCGCTGCCAGCGGGCCATGGACAGGCTGCTCACCGACAACATGCTCTGCGCGGGGCACGGCACCGCGGCCACCGACGCCTGCAAGGGGGACAGCGGGGGCCCCTTGCCCCTGGTGAGCCTGGAGCGCTGCCAGCGGGCCATGGACAGGCTGCTCACCGACAACATGCTCTGCGCGGGGCACGGCACCGCGGCCACCGACGCCTGCAAGGGGGACAGCGGGGGCCCCTTGATCGCCTCCCACCGCAACACCTGGTTCCTCCTGGGCATCGTCAGCTGGGGCGAGGGCTGTGCCCAGCAGGGGAAATACGGGGTGTACACCAGAGTAGCCAACTACATCCCCTGGATTAAAGAGGTGGTTGAAAGCGTAGCAGATTCAGAAAACTTTTCCATTAACTTTTCTTAATGCCAGCTACAGGAGCAGGAATAATTCTACTTTTACAGTGTTTCAGTCTACAACACTGGGCCTGTTCTTGTCCTTAATGGTGTAAAATCAAGCTCCTTACCCTCAAGGAAATTTTGAGAGGGTTAAATTGCTTAATCAAGTATTGCTAAGTAAAATACTTGTGTATAATAAAGAACTATTTGCAAGTAACAGAGGAGAAAACAACTTTTCTTAATGTAAATTCTTATCAGGAAGATTTTTTTAAGCGAAAGTAAAAGCTTTACATTTCTCAGGCCTACCTACATCTCACAGACAGGCACACTGAGTTCTCTGTACAAATTCAGTGCTTAGCAAAGCAAGTGCAGTTTGGGTAGTGGTGTCTGGCTCTAGTTGTGAGACAGACAGTGCTGAACACAGCAGGGAGGGAGCTCTGAAGTTCCGGAACCAAGGACGTCAGTTTACTAAATTACAAATGTTTTCTGATACAAAAAAGTCTATGTGGAACTGGGCATAAACAGAGCAGGAATCCACCCAGCTCCAGGAAGATTAAAGGACTGTGCAGTAAAATTCTCAACAGGTGATCCATATCAAGTTTTGATTTTGTGACCTCTCCTACAATTGACTGACATTTTAGTTACACCCCCCCAGCACCCTCCATTGTTACCATTCCACAAGAAACAGAACCATTCTGTTTGCCTCAGAGAACACAGGGTGTTGAGCTATTATGATGAATTTTGATAGGAAGAGTTTGAATTAGGCCTTGCACAAGACCACCAAGCCCAGTACCTCAATGAAACATCTCCTAGGATTTAAAAGTAGCCCCTAGCCCCCAGTGACTAGAAGACTGGACTGAAACACCAGAACTACAAAAAAAAAAAAATTGGGAGAAGAAAAAAGAATCTGTTGGACTTTTAGGGCCAAACAGACCCTGGCTATGAACAGCTCTGCACAGTTTCCTTGTTCTTCACAGTTGCACCTGCCACTATGGCAGTAAGGAAGGCCGTGGCTTTCAATAAATTCTTAACTAAAACTGGAAAAAACCCCAAATCCCTGAAGGTCTCAGCATGCTAAAAACACACCCCTGAGGCGGTTACTGCAGCACACACATACCTGGGGAGAGCAGGTGAAGTTGTCTCAGGAGCAGAATCCCTCTCGTGCCCCAGCCAGCACAGGTGTCCTCCTCCTGAAGTTGGTGTCCCAGCACACAGCTCCGTTACTGTCACTCCCTCCAGTCTCACAGGGCCACATTTCACATGTGACTCTCCACACTCTTGCTTTCACCCCTTACCAGTGCCAGCAGTAACTCACCCAAACACCATAATCCCCACCTCGAAGAAGTCCCAGAATTACAGAACACACATTTCAGCAAAGAGGTTCCACTCCTCTGGAAGGAAGGCAACTTTCTTACTGAAGAAATTCCAACTGCCAGTTATCCATGCAAGGAGGAGAGTCCTCTTCTTGTAGGCAAGCTCAGCAGAGACAACCATTTGTGGAGGTAAAGGCAAAGAAGCAACATGACCAGATGTTGCTCTGCTGTTGTTCTGTAGCTGCAGGGACAAAGAAATAGCAGCATGATCCCCCCAACACAGAGACAGGAACCTTCTCCTTCCCACTGGTAAAACAAACCTTTTGCAAAGTCACTAGTGAGCTACAGAAACATTTTAGCTGGAAACTGCTGGAATTTTTAGTGGTTGGTCTGCTGGGCTTTCCTCAACTTTACATCACTCTTCATGAAAAATAAAATCCTTTGTGTGGAAAATGGTCAGTATTTCTAATCAAAAGCAATACATGTAGATCTCCAAAGACATAATAACTGATTAATAAATCACTGAATAAAGAGGAACTGGACAACTCTGAACAGAAAATTAACCATTCACAGCTTTTCCACATCCAAGGTGGTCTGTGCATACCTTCCCCTGAGTAATCAACAAGCAGCCCAAAAAAACAGAAGATGTTTTATTGTCTGAAGTGTTGCAATACAACAAATACATGATCTGTACAAAGGACATGATAGGGCCAGTTAAATACTATCAGGAGAAAGAAGTCTTCATATTCACAGTCCTCAGACAACATCTTATACCAGAACCTGAACCAACAATTCAAAGACTCACTTAAAAAAACCCCAAACAAGTTGTAAAAAAATTTAAAGGTCTCCAAAGAGTCTGTGGGTGCACTGTCTTACAGCAGAGCTCATGGGGTATTCTGTGAAGGGTCACAATGGCATCTTATTACCCTCAATGCTGATTTTCACTGCATGGGCCGATCTGCTTTTTTTCCTGATATCTGTGAATTTCCGCATCTGTTTGTCCAGTCGACTCACCCCTTTCTTAGAGGTCCCCTGGAACTTAAAAAATAAAACTAATAATTACCACTGAAAAAAAAGCAGACGTCCCAGAGGCCCAGGGCAAGCGGCGCATGCGAGGTCACCCCCGGGCCTGGCTGGTGTCTCTGTCCTTCCCCAGAGTGGGAAAGGCTCCCCCAGGATCTGCACGGCCCGTGTGGAGGCAGAGCCACTCAGCCATCACCCTGTTTGCTGGGTACAGTTTGCAAGTTTTCTCTCTACTGGTTGGAGGTGTGTCAGAACCACAGTGCACCAGTGTCACCCAAAAGGGCTTCCTGGGGGAGTTCAGACACGGATACACTGTGACTGAGGCTGACACGGCCTTTCCAAACTGCCATTTGTTTTAAAGGTCATGGATTAGTCCTTATAAAGCAAGAGATTACTGGGAGAAGTGTGTAGGGAGAAGCCAGAGAAATGCTAAGCTGACCATACAAGCTCTTAGAAGTTATTGCATCTCATCTCTGTATTTGAACTGCAAGTGAAAAGCAGGCAGTGCAGCAGTTATTCTGCCCAGATTAAACACAGTGATGCTGTAACAAAACATCACTGAAGACAAACAGCAAGGACCTTCCAAGCCATAGCCCATACTTCCTAGAAGGCAATTTCCCCTAAGTAGACAACAGAAATAATAAACAATGAAACTGTCACACCTTTAAGTTTAGGAGAAACAGAGATATCCAAAACATGCTACATCGTATCTGACAATACACATCCATTAGAAACTTGTTCCCATTGCTGAGGAAGGTGCCCCTGACACACTGATTTTAAATAAACTTTATTCATAAAACTGTTTCACTACTCATTGAAATTATAGCTGAAGTTTCACAGTGATTTTTAAGAAAATATTTTTTTAAAACAAATAAATATGAAGCTTAAACTCAACAGTTATCTATCACTTGTGCTCGTCTCTTCCTGTCACTGTCAGCTTGTGGCAGCCCTGCTCAAAGCACTGAAATGCAGACCAGGAATTGTCAAAACAATTCCCACACTGATGCATGTTCTCCCACCCCACACTCACAATGGGGTGTTTCTTCTCCCCCGGTCTCATTCTCTGCCTCCCATCAACCACTCCTAAAGTCTCTTCACACTATCACTCTACTTCCTTGAAAGAGGTGTGAAAAACACCTCCCTGTGCCCCCCTCAAAGATCAGCCACAGATGTTGGTGTGCAGTGACACGAGGTTCTGTACCAAGGGCTAAGAATTCCCAAGTGTCGGTTCAGGTAAACCTGGAAAACCCAGTTGTGTCAGAACAGCACTTAAAACCACAGGTGGTGCAAAGCTGGTGCTGAGCACAGGTATTTTCACTGGACACCTGTCATTTGGGTACCCTGACGCTGTGCAGGCAGGTGCCATGGCAGGTGTTATGTGCTACAGCCTGTTTTCTCCTGTACAAGTTGCCTTGTAGGTCACAGTACAGACACGAGAGAATACAAGGAGAGTTTTCCAGGTTTAGGTTAGGGTGTACACACTGCTGTCCTGCATGTGCAAACTGCCAACAGCTGAAGCACATGCACTGTTCACACCTCCCTCGAGGGATACCTCTCCAACTTGGGAAGGCAGTGGCATGGCTACAGGGGCATCCTGTTGCCTTCAATGCTGAACTTGATGGCCCGATGCACTTTGCTGAGTCGTTTCTGTTCAGCAAACCGTCTCTTGTGCTTTTCCAAGCGACTAATACCTCTCTTAATAGTCCCGGGCTAGAAACAACATCTCAATTAATGCACAGAAGGAGAGAGAACAGCAGCAAGCACAGCAATTGTTACTTCTTCCATTTACACATACTCTACCACGTACACCCCTTTTAACTGAAACTGTACCAAGGTAGATGGATGAACCACAGAAAGCAACACAAAGGCCTCCACCGAAGCTATTCAAGTTTACCAAAACCTCAAAGGTTTCCCAAACTGGAATATTATCAGAACATGATAATGTTCTGGGGAGAGGTATAAAAATATCAGTGCAGTGACAGAGGTATTGAACTGCAGGTCTAGGTCAGAATGCTCTAAAGCAAGAGGCCTGTGATCAGATTCTCAGCCAAGAGAGAAACTCTGCAACAGTTATCTCAAAAATCTCTTGTCAGAGAAGCAATGAAACCTGAGTGAAAGCATTTGATGAGCTTAGAACAGCCCACTCGACAGAGAACTTACTGTCTACTCCCATTAGAAGAGCCCCTTAAAAGAACTACCCTCCTGTGCATGGCAATACAGTGACAGATCCCCAGGCTTAGAGCAGTCACCAGGAGAATGCCAGCGCTTACCCTGGAGGACTCCATCTCCACGTTCCACTTTGGCCTGACCACGTAGTCCTTGTTGGAGGGCATGGGCACCCTGGCACGGGCACAGAACCCGGGATCCCCGGGCCTGAGAGCCCTGCAGGAAAAAAGGACGTGACTGTTACGGACAAATCTTATCCAGAAAGAAGTACAGCAATGTGGTGTGTTCTCTGAAACACACTGCACAACACTGCCTCTAAAACCTCCACGCAATTGCCATATTGGTAGTGCCACCAAAATACTTAAATCAAGTTTTTTTTGAAAAAAACCCCAACCTACTTTTCCTCTCCAGTTAACACTTTCTCCAGGTCTCTGCGGGGAGTCTGCCCACCAGAGCTGCAAGAAAAACAAGTGTTTTTAAGCATCTATACACAGAGAAAGACAGAAATTTTAAAAAACAAAGTGTGGTAAAAGGAAAGAGAGGTCATAACTTATTATCCTTCTGTTTCCTTAATATTTACACAACATTTTCCTTGATGGAGCCTTAGAAAGAAGGATTTCGTGTTTCTGCCTGCTACCCCTACCTGCTCAGTTTCCTTCGATGAGGCATCTGTTCCAAATCTCTCTGTTCCCTCTCTTCTCTGGTCATGCCTTTGTAGTTTGAGGTAAGGCCAAAGATGGGTCGAGACCATTCATCTATTAAAAGAATAACTGGTTAACACAATGGCCAGGCCTCTGAAGTTTCTCTCACACCATTCCGGTGATCCAAGTACAGCTTTTAAAGTTTACGGCAAGTGTTTGTGCTTCCTTTCAACCAAACAAATGATTTGAGCCCTTAATACTTCATGGAAATCCAGCCTTGGGGACAGTAAGCCATCCCTGAAGTCTTGCTGTTGCCTGTTCTTTTGGAATCCCTCTGAGCTCTCAGAATACTCAGTGTCAGGAGCTCCTGCACACCAAGATGCTATTTTAGAAATATGCAGAAGAGTTCCTAAAGAACACAAGTCCATCCTCAGTCTGCAGCCACTCCAGTGGTAAACTCTCAGTCAGCCAAGTCCTCTCTAAAGTCCATGGAATAAACAGCCCTCTGGCAGCACCCTCCTGCCTTTGCAGCACATACATGAGGGTCTGGACAACAAACCAAGAGAGGACCAGGGCAAATAAATGCCATCTGACTTAGGACAAGAACGAACTTCTGCATGCACCTTGTCCTGTTTAGTTCATGTAACAGTGTCTGTTAAGAGCTCTACAAAGTGATGGAACAGATCAATGAGGTTCCTACATGGCAGAATTAATTCCACTACAGACAACAGCAAAAAGTGTGCACTAGAGATTGATGCAGAGATTCCAATCTCAGCAACACAAAGTGAAGACAGGTCTACATACTGATCAGCTTCCCTGCCATGTCCTTGTTTGGTCTCGACTCTTTGGGGTGTTTGTAGAGATACATCACAGCC